AAATATAAAAAGAAAAATATACTTTTTTTAAAGAATATTTTTCAAAAAACAACAGAATGAAAAAAAAAATATAGTTTATTTGGAATATTTTCGATTAAATGGAAAAGAAAAATATATGATAATATACGTTATTTTGATAAAAATTCAATTGAACAGTTAGAAAAAAATGAAAATAAAAGTTATTTGGAAAAAATTTTTCTAAAAAAATGAAAAATATATGATAATATGCGTTATTTTAATATTTTTCAACTGAAACAGTTAGAAAAAAAAAAAAAATATAATTTGTTTGGAAAAAAGAATTGAAAAAAAAAATATATGATAATAAAGATATTTTGCTATTTTCAAAAGAAAAGATGGTAAAAAAATGGAAAAATAAACATATTTTGAAATTTTTCAATTGAAATTTTAAAAATAAATTGAGTTAGAGTTTATTTTGATAAAAAAATTGAACAGTTAGAAAAAGAAAAAAAAATATAAAAAGAATATTTGGAAACAAACAATTAAATGGGAAAAAAATGTTTGATAATATACGTTATTTTGATGTTTTTCAATTGAAACAGTTAGAAAAAAAATGAAAATGTAGTTTATTTGGAAATTTTTTTTTGTAAATGGAAAGAAAATATAATAATAAACGATATTTTAAAATTTTTCAATTGAACAGAATGAAAAAGAAAAAAATATAGTTTATTTGGAAATTTTTCAATTAAAAAGGAAGAAAATATATGATAATAAAATGTTATTTTGATAATTTTCAATTAAAAAAGATAGTAAATAAAAATAAATATAAAGAAACATTTGATATTTTCCAATAGAAAAGAAAAAATAAATTGGATTAGAGTTTATTTTGATATTTTTCAATTGAACAGTTACAAAAGAAATGAAAATATATTTTATTTGGAAATTTTTCAATTGAATGGAAAGAAAATATATGATAATATACGATATTTTGCTATTTTTCAATTGAACAGTTAGAAAAAAAATGAAAATATAGTTTATTTCGAAGTTTTTCAATTAAATGGGAAGAAAATATATGATAATATACTTTTTTTTCATATTTTTCAATTGAACAGTTAGAAAAGAAATGAAAATATAGTTTATTTGGACATTTTTCAATTAAATGGGAAGAAAATATATGATGATATACGTTATTTTGATACTTTTCAATTGAACAGTTAAAAAAGATATGAAAATATAGTTTATTTGGAAATTTTTCTATTAAATAAGAAGAAAATATATGATAATATACTTTTTTTGATATTTTTCAATTGAACAGTTTGAAAAGAAATGAAAATATAGTTTATTTGGAAATTTTTCAATTAAATGGGAAGAAAATATATGATAATATACATTATTTTGATATTTTTCGATTAAAAAGAGAGTAAACAAATGCAAATATAGCATATATTGATATTTTTCAATTCAAATTTTAAAAATAAATTGAATTAGAGTTTATTTTGATATTTTTCAATTGAACATTTAGAAAAGAAATGAAAATATAGTTTATTTCGAAGTTTTTCAATTAAAAGGGAAGAAAATATATGATGATATATGTTATTTTTATATTTTTGAAATGAACAGTTAGAAAAGAAATGAAAATATAGTTTATTTGGAAATTTTTCAATTAAATGGGAAGAAAATATATGAAAATATACGTTATTTTGATATTTTTCAATTGAACAGTAAGAAAAGAAATGAAAATATAGTTTATTTGGACATTTTTCAATTAAATGGGAAGAAAATATATGATAATATACGTTATTTTGATATTTTTCAATTGGACAGTTAGAAAAGAAATGAAAATATATTTTATTTGGAAAAAAATATGAATTTTCAATTAAAAAAAAAAAAATATATGATAATATAAAACATTTTGATATTTTTCAATTAAACAAAAAAAAAAAAAGAAATGAAAATAAAGTTTATTTGGAATTTTTTCAATTAAAAAAAGAAAATATAAAATAATATACGTTAAAAATATTTTTAAATTAAACAGTTTGAAAAGAAATGAAAATATAGTATTTTTGTTAATTTTTCAATTAAATTGGGAAAAAAAAATATGATGATATACGTTATTTTATAAAAAAATTGGACAGTTAAAAAGAAATGAAAATATAGTTTATTTGGAAAAAGGAAATTAAATAAAAAGAAAATATATGATAATATAAAAATATTTTGATATCTTTGAATTGGACAGTTAGAAAAGAAATGAAAATATAGTTTATTTGGAAATTTTCAATTAAATTGGAAGAAAATATATTATGATATACGTTATTTTGCTATTTTTCAATTGAACAGTAAGAAAAGAAATGAAAATATAGTTTATTTGGAAATTTTTCTATTAAATAGGAAGAAAATATATGATAATATGCGTTATTTGGATATTTTTCAATTGGACAGTTAGAAAATAAATGAAAATATAGTTTATTTGGAAAAATTTCAATTAAATGGGAAAAAAATATATAGTTTAATATGCGTTATTTTGATATTTTTTAATTGGACAGTTAAAAAAATGAAAATATATTTTATTTGGAAATTTTTCAATTTAAAGGGAAAAAAAAAATATATGATAATATTGAATTAAAAAAAATATTTTTCAATTGAACAGTTAGGAAAAAAAATGAAAATATAGTTTATTTTGAAAAAAAAAATTAAATGAGAAGAAAAAATCTGATAATATATGTTATTTTGATATTTCTCAATTGAACAGTTAGAAAAGGAATGAAAATATAGTTTATTTGTATAGTTTTCAATTAAATGGGAAGAAAATATATGATAATATATGTTATTTTGATATTTCCCAATTTAACAGTTAGAAAAGAAATGAAAATATAGTTTATTAGGAAAGTTTTCAATTAAATGGGAAGATATATATGATAATATACGTTATTTTGATATTTTTCAATTGTACTGTTAGAAAAGAAATGAAAATATAGTTCATTTGGAAATTTTTCAATTAAATGGGAAGAAAATATATGACAATACACGTTATTTTGATATTTTTCAATTGAACAGTTAGAAAAGAAATGAAAATATAGTTTATTTGGAAATTTTTCAATTAAATGGGAAGAAAATATCTGATAATATATGTTATTTTGATATTTTTCAATTGAACAGCCCGAAAAGGAATGATAATATTGTTTATTTGGATATTTTTCAATTAAATGGGAAGAAAATATATGATAATATACGTTATTTTGCTATTTTTCAAATGAACAGTTAGAAAAGAAATGGAAGTATAGTTTATTTGGAAATTTTTCAGTTAAATAGAAAGAAAATATATGATAATATACGTTATTTTGATACTTTTCAATTGAACAGTTAAAAAAGATATGAAAATATAGTTTATTTGGAAATTTTTCTTTTAAATAGGAAGAAAATACATGAGAATATACGTTTTTTTGATATTTTTCAACTGAACAATTAGAAAAGATATGAAAATACAGGTTATTTAGAAATTTTTCAATTAAATGGGAAGAAAATATATGTTAATATACGGTATTTTGATATTTTTCAATTAAAAAGATAGTAAATAAATGGAAATATAGCATATTTTGATATTTTTCAATTGAAATTTTAAAAATAAATTGAATTAGAGTTTATTTTGATATTTTTATTTGAAAATATAGAAAATAATTATAAATGATGCTTATTTGGCATTTTTCATTTGAAATGAAAGAAAATAAATTGAGAAATGTAAAATTTAGCTTATTTTGATATTTTTCAATTTAATAATTATAAAAGAATGTAAAATTTAGCTTATTTTGATATTTTTCAATTGAATAAGTAGAAAAGAATGTAAAATTTAGCTTATTTTGATATTTTTCAATTGAATAAGTAGAAAAGAATGTAAAATTTAGCTTATTTTGATATTTTTCAATTGAATAATTATAAAAGAATGTAAAATTTAGCTTATTTTGATATTTTTCAATTGACAAGGTAGAAAATAAATGGAAATATAGTGTAATTTGATATTTTTCAAATTGAAAAGGTGGAAAAGAAATGGAAATGTAGCTGATTTTTATATTTTTCAATTGAACATGTAGAAAAATTAAAATATAGCCTATTTTCATATTCCTCAATGGAAACGGTAGAAAATAAATGTAAATATAGCTTCTTTTGATTTTTTTTCAATGGAAAAGCTAGAAAACAACTGGAAATATATGTTATTTTCATATTTTCCAATGGAATAGATAGAAAATAAATAGTGATATAACTTTTTTTCATATTTCTCAATGGAAAAATAGAAAATGGAAATATAACTAATTTTGATATTCATCTCAAGGTTTTTGACAAAATCCAAAGAAGGATCTGCAATGTAATCAATCCTTATTTGGTATCTCAACATCAGTCACTCTTCTATAAATATTTTCATAGCAACTGCTCTGACAAGCTGTTTTCCCTGTTGCCACAACTACATGAATTTAAGTGTGCTACCAGGCTGGCATCTTGGTCTCAGCCATTTACTGTTGAAATAGTTAAATGTAACTGTGGCAGCATTTCTACTCCAATAATTTCTTTTCTCAAACTTTCCACCTGTGGAATTCCCTTTCGTTTACTTGCTTCCCTTCAAAAATTTAAATGCAATATCAATCATTATCTTCTTTTTTCTTGAATTCTGGTTTGTTCTTTCCTCAATCATCCCTATAGTCATTCTTTTCTCTCACTTTCACTCTATATAAATCCCTGTGTACTAGTGGCATTCCCACCTTGCTTGGGGTGAAATGATTAAAAAATATCAGTTTGTTTTCTAAATTTTGTTATGACAGGTATTCTCTCTGACAGATGTAGTCTTGTCAAGAGAAGATAACTCTCCCATAGGTATAGCAATACTTCCTTTTATATATAGTCTCTCATTTACCTATCAATACACCTGAACCTAATAGGTTTTATAGCTTTAGTTGATCTTTGATTTCTATGAGCAACCTTAGGAGACATAATCTGTCCCTTTATTTCTTTTTATAAGAGATCCAGATCAACTGATTCTCCTCATTTGAATCATCATGATACCTCCAGTCACCTGCATCCCCAGATTGTTCCACACTACTACTGGATACACTCATTCTCTCCTCTCTCTCCTGATCTTCGCTTTCATATCTCTAGTGGTCTTTCTGCTCACTTTCAGTACAGGATTCATTCATCCTTTTTTGAGTCGTCTGTTCTTCTGCTTCCTCCTCCTTTTCAAAAAATTCATGCTCTCTTGTTGTTCTAAATTGGTCTTCATGAGCCAGTACATCTTATTCATTCTTTATTAACACAACTGTGTTAAATCCCTTTTGCCTTTTCATGACTTGAATGCTTGTCCTGTCTGTACCACACCCTTTCATTTGTTGCAAATTACATAATAATTTTGAATTGAAAAATAGAAAATAAATGGAAATATATCTTATTTTGATATTTTCCAATTGAAAACATAGAAAATAAATGGAAAAATAGCTTGTCTTCCCATCAATGCAGATGGCCTTTGTCTTCTGTCTGCATGCAGAATAGCTCTATAACTTAGGAGTAGTCTGGATAAATAACTCTCTATACTGGAGATATTGAAAGCATTCTCTCCACTGGAGAGAATACTTTTAATACCATTTTTACCATTTGAACCATTCTCTTCACAATTCTATTTGACTGTGGATGGTAAGGTAGTGTTTTTTTTATGAAATGCAACCAATACGTTTTAACCATGCACAAAACTCAGGCGTATTGTCAGCAACCAAGGTTTTTGGAACTCCATTTTTTGAAAACATTATCCACAAAACCCACTTCACAGTAGCGGCTTTTCTATCCGCAATTTTTTAACATACTCTTCCATGTATTTCGAATTGTCTGGACATCATGCTTGCAACTTTAACCTCATTTGTGTAGCCAATACACCTCCATGTATATCATTATGCATGGCTTTAATTACTACTTTTCTCAGGGACTATGGAGGTACTATGATATGTCCATTACATATAATTCTTTTTTCTATTGTTAATTTGTGTCTTGACTCTTTATAAGGCCTCTCAGCCATAGATCAATTACTACATTTATTTCTCTTTATTCTATCCATAATTCTATTCAACTTTGGATTCTGCTTAGTCCCCAACCTAAGCCAATTTAAGGGTAATACGTCCATCCTCTATCATAGTTAAATAACCAGTTGGCAATGTCATATTGTTGATAGGTATTCTCTCTGACAGATGTTGTTTCGTCAAGAGAAGATAATACTCCCATAGGTATAGCGATATTACCTTTTATACAGCACCTCATTTACATATCTCTACACTTTGCATTTTATGGTCAAAAACTTCTTTAATTCTCTATCTTTAAATGAAGAATTAAAATCAGAGTAAATCAATAAATCCATAGCTTGATATGCAGTTTAAAAAATTTTGACATGAAATTTTTATTGTATAATGTTTGATCTGGGTTAGTGATATTAAATGCAGTAACAAGAGTGTTAGAAAATTAATATTTCTTGGGTAACATAAATACCGACTTTGGGCTGCAAAAGTTCAATTCCACCTCAGGTCAATTACACACTATCTAGCGTCGGGATTCATCTAACAATTACTACTGTCATCAAATTCATGAACCAAAACAATGATATGGAAAATGGTTAACAAGTTTGTCCTGATGGATAAATTATGATTCAGTAGTGAGTTCGAGCCCTACTGTGTTCTCCATACTTATGCCACATCTACGCTATGCTTCCTTATATGTCATATTTATTTTTTAAACAACTGATTCGTCGTACCATTCAGTCAGCACTTAATAATTGAAAGTAGCTTCCCTTTGGTATGTAGAGCTCTTTCTAAAAGTTAACGGAGGACATAGAAGTGTGTGTGAAGAAACAAAACGAAAAGCAACATATAGCATAAAAGATTACGGATATTAAATGATTTTTTTACTGTTTACAACTTGAAACCTTTTGGTCACATTCTTAACATCTCTTGTCATATATTTTTCAGTCTAAAACAAATTGCATTTCAATTGTAAACTCCATAACTCATTTTACCAAGAAAAAAGTGGAATTTATTTTTAAGGCTTCTTTTCTATCACTCGTTTTTTTTTTTTATAGAGGTGTGTTAAAAATATTTGCTGAACTTTGGTGACACATCTAAAATATTGGCTGTAAATGAGATGATGAGTTCTCAAAGAGGTAACGTGAAGAAATGTGGACCACCAAAGCACCAAAACAAAACCGCCTTTCGGAACGATCTTCATGATTCAACTATTAAACAAAAAATAATCAATAATTTGAACACCACAGGACTTTGTACACAGTGTACCCAGGTAATCGAATGGAAGATTAAATACAAAAAATATAATCCATTAACAAAGGCTAAAACTTGTGTGTCCTGTAGTCAAAAGACCGTGAAAAAGGCATACCATGTCTTATGTTGCGATTGTGCTGAAAAGAAAAAAGCCTGCGCCAAATGTCAGAAAGAAATACAGTCGGAAATTGATGAAGATTGTTCGACTTCATCCGTTCATGAAACTTTTTTCGCTGATAGTAAGTAAAGAAATGCAGACATAAAAACAACATAAAAACACCACGTATGAATAAAAACAACATAAAAACATCACGTATGAATTTCTTTCCTTTTTTTTATTTTGATGAATTATTTTTTTTTTATGAATACTTTTTAATTCGCAAAAAAAAAAAAAATTTCCAGCGGCAATAAGCAAGTAACATTTGTCACCCTAAAGTAATTGTTTAACTACAATACATACATTGATACATTAGCATTGGACCATTGGTAGTTACTTAGTCGGAAAGTTTTAAATTTTAATATAGTTTAAAGTTTTAATAATTACTATAAAATTCAAAATTAAAAAGTATTCGTATTTTTACAACAAACTTTATTGTGGCAGGTGTATGTCCTAAATAATTTCCATGTTGTTTATTAGTTCACCAATTGCATTTTCGATAATGAAAGGAAAAGAAAATCAGGAAATTGAATTATCCTATGAAATTAATACAGTGAATAGATAATTATTTTTAGAAAGCTTTGTGGAAATATTTGTTAATGTCAGTTTCAACAACGCGCCATCAAATTTTATTTTACACAGTAAACCTGAAAAAATATTTCCGCTATTTTAATTTAATAACATAACCTATTCTCTAGTATACAATTAAAAATCAAATGAATAGCTTATTTTAAATATATTTATATAACCGACGTAATCATTTATTAATGAGTAAGGGTTGAAAATTTCATTTTTAAATCAAATCTAAATAATTTTCAGATTTTTGGTAAATTTAAAAAAAAAACGGTTATTAAGCGTTTTGCTTTTTTTAATTTCTCTCAAAGAACGCTACTTCCTCGTTTTATTTAAAAAAATGCCAAGCATCAGAATTATCTGATTTCATCGGAATTTTTATCTTTTTTTACTGTACACATTAGTTAATTGATATTTATTTACTGAATCTTTTTTTTTTTTTTTTAGTTTTACTTTTAACTATTTTTCAAGTCATTTTTCTCTCATCATGGCTAATAATGAATTTTGAATATTCCTACACATTATCAATTTGAAAAAAGTTTATTTAAAAAAATAGTTAATCACTATGAACACACAAAAAAAATATGGTCTGAAATCTTGAACATATTCAAGAAAATAAAAGTTCTTTGTGAAGATTTTTAAAAAAATATTGGTAATCAATTTTTGGTTATCACAAGAAAAAATCTTTTATTTTTTTTGTGAAAAATTGGCTTGTATTCTTTTTACAATACGATTTTATAACTCTTTCAAATTTTGGTTATTGCTAAAAAACTTGATTTAAAAATGTAAATTTTAATGTCGTCTTCGAGTGTCAACATTTTTTAAATTTTATTTATTACTTTTTCATTTTACAACTTAGAGTTCCTCATTCTACAGATCAAAAAAATAATTTTTTTTAATTATGTCCCTTGAACAACACTTCCACTCAGAATTTTAGTTTCCTCATCAGTTACCATGAGTTTGTGGTGTTTATTCATCTATTTTCATCTTGTTTTACTGCTATTTTTCCTTGCAGGGAGCATTTGCAGACACATATGTTAAGCTTCTGGAAAGATTGCATAAATACTACAATGCCAGAGCAAAACATCAATCATTTATGGATTTGTCAGATTCACTAGTGAAATACTTCCTTGCAAATAAGGATGAAGATTATTAATTGATCTTATATGAACTTATAAAAGAAAAATGATTACAATACAGAGACACTCATCTTTAAATTATAATCTTAATGTTCCAATGTATCAAGATGTTTAACTTAGCAATCTAATTTAGCTTTTTATCACTTTTGTTTCTTGGTTTTAGGTGTGACACTGGAAAATGGAAAGAAAGGGTTAAAAACTAAAATATAGTTCGGAACAAGATGAGAAGGGTTAAAGAATAGACTGAAGAGGAGACTGAGACAAAGAAGGGAGATTTCTCTTTTTTTTTTTCAAAAGTAATTTTTTTTAGGGAAGAAAACAACTTGAAAAAAAGTGATTTGTTTGCAAGATATTACTACAAGAGCCATATGGCAATATATAACTGACAGCTGATTGATGATGCAGCCTAAAGAAGTACTGGTTATAAAAACACAAATTGAGAAATAAAATTTAGTGATCTCTGTAACCAAATCGAGGCAATAGAGTTTCTTTGTGTAAGGACCCAAAACACAGCGTACTTGGAGTGCAATGACCTTGGTAGGATGGGGTGGGGGTGACTGGCTGGAAGAATCAGCTGGTAAATTTCTGAGTTTATGATCAAGGCGAGGCTGAGACACTTCACAGACGAGAAATTGAAATGATAATTTTAATAACTAAGCCACGTCATGCAGTTGAGAACCAGATTGGTCAAAGAACAACCAAGGTAACAGGTGCAGGTGAAATACCAAGAAGGATGGAGGAATTATCTATGCCCATTGGGAAGTGTTAGCATGAGGGAAGGAAGGAGCTGGGCAGATCGATATCCTGAGACCGCTAATCATTGAAAAAAGGATCTCTCTAAATTTAGAGGGATAATTAATTATCCAGAGCCAGACAACAAAGAGAGTCTTTTTGGAAGATAGGGGAAACACTGAGTCCCCATAAACACGTCAATCCCAAATACCAATTTTGGGTGGAAGTCAATATAAGCAGAATATTGAGGCAACAAAGATACTTGTTGATCCAGGACAAGAGATGACTGCTCTGCGGAATCCCATATGACTTGCTGCCAGAGAGAACCTCTGACTCAAGCCTTGTTCCAGACTTAATTAAGCAAAGTATCACAATAGAATTCAAAGAGGTAATGGTTAATATTTCTGTACAAAGAATGATATAAAATTACATAGAAATAGACCCTGAAGACATTCCTAATCTGTGAGAAGATTTTTTAATTTTCCTTTACCTGGAGTGAACCAACACAACATTTGCTAATGACAGTTTGATCTTTGCCACCTCTGTGATCAATTCAACACAACATGAGCAGAGCAATGGTTTAGTGACCAACTTAATGGCCAGCAGCAATATTTGACCAAACAACAACCAACAGAAAAGTGTTACGTAGATACTTCCACTAATTTGCTAGAAAAAGAGCATACAATGATGAAAAAATTCCCCAAACTTGACAAAATCTAAGTTTTATTGTAAAAATCTTTATTGTTCAGAGGAAAGATCAAAATACTTTTGAAATATGTTTGGACTCCAGAGACTTAAACAAAGTCATAAAAAGGCAACATCTTGAACTCACTACAGCAGAGGATATCTTTGCACGAATGCACAATCCTAGATACTTCACTAAGCTAGATGCCTCTAATGGCTATTGGCAAATTCAAGTTGATGAAGAAAGTTCCTGCCTTTTAACGTTCAACACACCATTTGGAAGATATTGTTTCCTTATGGAATTCACAGTACTACTGAAGTCTTCCAAATTGAAATATACAAAAAAAATAGAAGGAATAGGAGGAACAAGAAATTCTCAGGATGATATAATCTGGTCCAACAATTTAGAATCACACACAATTAGACTTTAACAAGTTTTTGAGCATAGATTGAAATTAAACAAATCAAAGTGCATTTTCAGCAGTTTACAAATAACTTACCTTGGACATTTAATACTCATTGAAGGATTAAACCAGACCCGACTAAAGTAGAAGCAATCATTGATATGTTAGTACCTACTTGCAAAATAACTTGCAGAGATTCCTAGGTATGATGAACTAATCCAAAGTTATAGCACCATTATGCCAGCTTCTATAGAATGCTATTTTATGGTCATTCGACAAACCTCAAATCGAAGCAATAAAGAAACTAAAGGAAATTATTACCAGGCAACCAGTGCTACAATTTTATGATCAGGATCTACCTTTAAAAATAACTATGGATGCTAGTAAGGATCCACTTGAAACAATACTGAAACAAAAACACAAGAAAAAATAGCTACCTATTTCATTTGCATCACGAGCAACAACTTTAGCAGAACAGAATAGAGAGAGAAGCTCTTAGCATAGTCTTTGCATGTAAGAAATTTCATCAGTTCATATACAGCACTCATTTTCTAATCAAAAACGATCATAAACCATTGAAACATATCTTCAGAAAATCAATCACCAATGCCAAGGATCAAAAGATTTCTGTTAGCACTAGAAAGGTATAATTTCCACCTGGTAAAGAATCTATTATTGCTAATCCTATCTTGCACATACCTTGAACAAAATACTCTGGAAATACCAGACACAGATATGAATGCACACATACATGCAGCAATAAAAAATTACCCCATGAATGATATCATATAAGAAAGCCACTGCAGATGACTTGATACTACAGACACTCATCACATATACAAGAACAGAATGACCTTCAAAAGACAAAATACCAGCCAGTATTCAACCATTCCTCTTTGTTTGTGATTAAATATCAACTGTCAATGGGCTCATTTTGAAAGGTTCCAGAATTATTGTCCCTACATCATTATGCAAAGAAACTCTACAAAAAATTCATACCAGAAACATTGGAATTGAAAAGTGCACAGAATGAGCCAAGGAATGTATATACTGGCCCAGCATCAATGCTTATATCAAAGATATGATTAATACATGTTCATACTGCATTGATTATAAAAATCAACAACCAGCTGAACCACTGAAGAATCATGAAATTCTCACTACTCCTTGAACCAAAGTAAGTACAGATATATTTCACTTGTTTGGAAAATCTTATGTCACAATTATTGATTATACAAGATTTACATGAAATAAAAAATTGTCAGACAAAAACTGTAATCAAAAGACTAAAAAACACTTACCAAAATCAGCATTCCACAAACAGTTGTCAGTGACAACGGACCAGAATTCAATTAATCATTAGTATGAGAAACTAGGTGAGCAAATAATGAATACTTTGTAAGTGATGAACATAGTATAATCTATGCAGGCAGTATAAAAAGATTACACAGCAACATAAAAGATTTTTGTGCAAGATATAAAAATTCTGCTTTCCAACCAACTTCAAGTTCTTGTGCAAGAAAATAGGCACAACTTAATAAACAAGACGACCACTGCATTAAATTTTAAAAGGAGCAATATGTTTATTTTCAATTACAAGTTTGAACAAAACAAGGGTTTCCTTTTGTGCACATATTTGGGCAGGATAACACTTTCATGAGGTAACAAAAAAAAGAGATTACCCACAGAAACAAGAAAAAGAATATTTCATAGTTAGTCTAAGAAACGGATTCATATACAAAAATTATTCCCTTCAAAAATAGAGAAAAATTAGGAAAATCTTGGGGAAAGGCTTTAAAAATATGGCACAAGGTAGACATATTTTTTTCAAATAGCACCCACCTCTGTTCTTAACAGTATTTAGAAACAGGATGCCCAGCTTGGAGGGATTAGTGTTATAATGTTCACTTGTTTGGTCTTGGGTGTGAAATCTTATTCGTAATAATCTGCCTTGTATCTGTCAGGTCAGATTTATGACCTTCAACTGGACTTTTTTTTGAAGTGTGGGGTGCTATGCTCAGTCCTTTCTTGCTAACGGCACATTCTTGTCTCCTATCTGTTGCTCTCCTGACTGATCTGCTTCAGCCCTCTGCTTCTAGATTGCAGAGAACAGTCCTTTCTATTGGAAAAGTGACTGTGATATTGGCTCCAGCCAAATTTGAGATTGGCCAGCAAACTTGTTTCTCATTGGCCAATATATATTAAAAAAAAACCCTCTCTAAGTATTCAAAAAAATAAATCCAAAACACTTCTTACAATTCATACAATTTTGGCAGTTCACCACTTGAGCCTGAAAGGCCATAAAAAAGCACAAAATTTAACATACAAATCATCTGGTCCCTTTCAAGAATATACTTTTCTCAAAACATGAATATAAAAAAACAACCTAGATGATTATACATGGATTATTTAACATTGTTTAGAAATAATAAAATAAAATTTTTATAGCAGAGAAAAATGAAAGGGGAATAGGACTTTTACTAGATCAATACAGGAAGAAATATTCTAGGACACTGACAAAATTTTTCTAATTAATTTAAAAAGAAGCCATTCAATATATTATTACGAACCACCCCCCATCTCCTTCTTTCCTTTCTCCAACCTTATCGATAGCAAAGCTAGAGGAGATTCGCAATTTGTGTTATTTTGTTTTTTAACATTTTACTTTTTTTTTATTAACAAACATGGAATCGTGGAAAAGATAAAAATTAAAAAAAAATGACCAAAACAAAAATGACGATATGTCAAGACTAAATATTTAAACATTGTGGACAAAATAGTGGGAGGCGAGCATCCTTTAAAAAAGGTAAAATAAAAATCAGCATATGGCCTTGTGCAATACTGTCACAAATTTATAGAACATGTGCTATAACTGCACGGATTCACAAAACATCAACATTTTAAGACAATGTGGTAAGAAACATATAATAAAAGGATTTCATGCTAAATTTGCATGAAAGTACGAATAAGAAAAAGAGGTACATTTAAACAAAATGGGGTACAAGAAAAATAAACTTAACTTAGGATAAAGTCCTTTTTTTCACTAATAATGTCTCTTAGTCTTATCTATTTCTTTTCTTTTTCTTTTTCTATTTTTATAAGGGTCTCTTTTTGACGTCTTCTCTTACTTCCTCTTTTTCTTTTCGGCGTCTAGGGGCTCGGCTGATGATGAAGCAGAAAATACGTTCACTCTCTCTTTTGTCTTGGTATGACAGCATTCTCGCTCGAGATGGTCTGTTCTTTCTTTCTTTCTTCTCCCCCTCTCTTTGTTTAAGGGCTTGGTGACAGTGGAAACTGCTTTCTTTCTCTTTAATATAGCGGTGTTCCGCCTACGTCGTCAAAACGGGTCTGTCCATTCGACGAGGAGACCAATTCTCCTCACAGTTTTGCAAACACATCTTTTCAGTCCGTATACTGAGACATTTGCCAAACGTCCATCCAGCTCGCAGGCTTGGATGAAGACTAACTTTTTCGTTTCACTATTCGTTTCTGTTTTCTTCTTGTCACATGGTCAATTTTCAAAATACTAACTTTTTTCCATTATGGGTGGAATGGGGTCATCGACTCCCTCTCTTATCTTCAAGGTCAGAGAAAGTTTAGTTTAAAATGTTTCAACCTATCCCAACCGGAATCTATCCATGTATATCATGCTGTCAACACCTTGACCAAAAGAGAAGGAAAGGGTACACTCTGGTCAATCATTGTCGCCACAAAGTCTATTTATCTCTTTGGGTTTACTATCTTTACATTTTCTGCAAGTACTGGGCTCTTTATTTTAGAATGCTTCTAAAATACAAGCAATGGTATATTTTTTTATAACAAATTTAGATCGGGGTTCGTAACAATATCCATTACAGTAATATATGCATCAATTATACAAATCACAAAATAAGAAATTGATAGCTTTTATATCACAATGGAATATGAAGTCTTAATTAAAATATGAAGAAATTACAGTAATCTTGGGAAACCTAAATGCTAAAAAAGGAAAGAAATAGTTGGTAAGTACAGACTAGGATCCTGTAACAAGCACAGTGAAAAATAAGTACAATGACAAATAATGAATACCTGATGAACATTGAAAAACCCAGGAAGATGCACAAAGAACCAGATAGACTATATAGCAATCAATAAAAGATTCAGGAAGCAGTTTTACATCCTAAAATCTCTCAAAGTGCTGACTATGGACACAAACTAAAATTGCAGAAATTAAAGAAAAATAATGTGGCACTGTAGAATGCTGATAATTTGAAGAAATTAAAAAAGGCTTAATCTAAAGTAAACACAAAGACAAGAAGGTAGTAGATAGATAGAAGGACATACCGAAAACAAAAGAAAATATAATCATCTTGTTTTCTCATTTGGTGAGTATAAAGAAGATAGTAGATAGACATACCAAAAACAAAAGAAAATATATTTTTATTTTGTTTCTCATTTCGTGAATAATAATAGAAGATAATGCTGAAATCCACTTGAGAGTCTAGTTAAAGTGAAGCCCAGAGGATGAGGTGACGAGTGTACAATTTTGGACAGAGACCACCAAACTAGTTACAGATAATAATTTTATGGCTATAGGTGGGATAAGAAAGGGTAAAGAAATTATTCTATTTCACTTGTTGATATGTGTGGAGGATGTGCATGTCACTAAAAGAACAAGATTTTCTATGGCTAGAAAACTTCAGTCAAGTGGGAAAGAGAAGAAAAGTTATGAACCAAATGTGATAATTCGGAAGGAAGAAATGCAGATAATAATTTTATGGTGACATTAAAAATAGCATCTGTTTTCAGCCAGGTGTTCATGGTAGAACACTTATTCCTTGGATGGTGGCAACATGAGGAGCTGATATGAGCAATTGGAAGGAAAATTAATATGCCAACTGAAAGGTACTGGTGCGAGCAAGAGAAGTGGGAAGAACAAGATGGCAGATTGACGTGTTTCTACCGCCACTCCCGCAGGTGGAACTCCCTATATCTGGACATACAACGGCAACCCAGCAGGACTTGTGGAGAGATTTGATTGAGTGACAGGAGATTTGAAGGCATCTCAGAACACGCCAACCCCAACTTGCTTTTTGGAGGTTGAACTCCATAAATAGCCATACAGAGATCCCAGAGAGGAGAAGTGAGAAGAGAAGACAGAGAAAGCAGCAGTTGAGGCAGAGACGTGCTTCCATTACACCATGTGATTTGCTGCCACAAAGAACTCCTGACTGATGCCTTGTTCCAGACTATTAAATGAATTGAGCAGAGTGCCCTGATGAAATTGCAAAGGAGAAAAACTGAAAGTCTCTATATAATGACAGAGAAAGAAAGAGGGAGACAAATGTTTCACCAGCATTCCGTAATTTGCTTCCTGAAAAAATCTAACTTAAAGTTTGAAGCCTCAACTTCGATTTGGAAATGAAGAACAAATTGTCATGAAATTAGACTATGAGGGAATGGTCATTAGCCTGCATGCTTGTAGATTTTTATACGAAAAAGTGTTCCTTTATAAACCTCAGTTATGTAAACCTCGTTGATTTACACCACCTTCTTTTTTTTTTGTCTTATAACGTTGTCCCACTTGAATGACACCAATCCAGCAATATCTGATGACAATTCAGGCCTTGTGATCAAAACACAATGTGGGATAGAGAGAGGCTTGGATCGAAGTGATTAATGTTTCAATCATGGACACACCAGTGACCAAGGACAGGACAGCATTGTCATATAGCACAGGGGTCAGGACGCCCTGCAGTATTATACTAAAGCAACTCCTTAACTCCAATACTACAAACTCCAGGATGACTCAACTTAATGTATGCTAATAGAGTAAAGATCTTCAATGGTACAAGGAGTTCAAAGTTGAACACATTAAGGCAGTGGTTCCCAACCTTTTTTACATAGCAGCACACTATTGAGTTCTTTAAATTTTTGCAGCACACCTATCACAAAAAATAAATATTTTCCACTCATAAAGCCTTTTTGCAATAAAATAATAAAAAACTAAGAATATTATATAAGAAGAATTTTTATTCACATAAATCAACATATCCTTTATTCAATATTGGGTATAAAATAATAATGTTGAATGTCAGTGGGACAGTTGTGCCTGGTGCTTCTTGACTACTGCTGCAATATTTGGGCGAATGTGAGAGAGACACACTCTTAACTCTTCTTCAATAAGTCTTTCATGTTTTTTATTTTTAATGTTGTTCATGTAAGAAAATCACAGTTCACATAGGTATGAAGTTGAGAATTGCAGTAAGATTTCGATGGCTTTTTACTTAGAGTTGGATACTCTTCCATAACAGAAATCTAAAAGGCATTCCAATGGCAGTTGTGCGTACTTCAATTTGAGACCACGATCATTGGAAAGGCTTGCTAATTCATCCTCTTCACATAACTCAAAATTGAAAAGGTTGATGACTGATAAATCTAGGAACAGATTGTGAATCCAATCAAATTCTTCAATGCTGATTGAGGGAAAATAATCTTCAATTTTATTTTCTAAACATGTCAAATGCTCACTAATAATGGGAATCATCTCTGTAATGCAGGTTTTGCGAATTAAGGGAAATATATCCAAATCATCTACCTTCATTCTTTTCTTCCATATTGCAACTTTTTTCTTAAAAGCAATTAATTTATCTGTTGCCGTAAGAATATTTTCATTTCTGCCTTGCATATTGTTGTTCAGACTATTGAGATGTCTAAATATCTCATTTAAGTACTCTATTTTAGACATCCACAATTCATTTTTAAGGTATTTACAAAATCAATCAAGTTTTTCATTTTCAAAAAAAATAAAAGTTCTTTCTGAAGCTCAATTATGCAAGATAGCATGTTTCCATTCAATAACCATCTTACTTCTGTGTGCAATAGTAAACAAACATAATGAGAATTTATATCCTTGCACAGCAACTCCAAAATTCTGGACTTGAAAGGCTGAGTTTTTATGAAATTTATCATTTCAATCACTTGATTCATCACCTCTTTTAGTTCATTTTGTGCTATCTTTGAAACTAATACCTCTCTGTGTGAAAAACAATGAGTTCGCACGATATAAGGATTCTGTTTTTCTACTAAAGATGCAAAACCTTTTACAGAACCAACCATTGATGGCGCTCTATCGGTACATATTCCCACACATAAATCCCAGGATAAGCCATATTTTTCGAGGCATATTGTGATTGTATCAAAAATATCTTGACTTTTTGTAGTTGTGGGTAACTGTTTGCAGCATAGAAATTGATTAATTATGGCATCTTCATTGATGACATGTATAAATGTAATTAACTGTGCATGATTACTGATGCCAGTGGATTCATCAATTTGGAGAGCAAATAGACTATTTTGAAATTTGGATATTACACTTCAATTCCTCAATATTATCAGACAAGTCAAGAATTCTTCACTGAATCCTGCTAATTTCTTGTTCGGCCTTATCACCAAGCATAATTTTCACCATCTTTTTGCATGCTGGAAGGATCACTGATTCTGCAAGAACATGAGACTTCGATTTAAGAGCAATTATTTCGGCCACCTCATATGAAGCTAATTGAGCTTTTTCAGACACGGTTACTGTTTTTTTAAATAGTTGACTTTGCCTTGCATTTGATTCTAATAACCGTTGAAAATAATTGACATTTTTAGTTTGAAGGCTAGGATGATTAGTAGTAAGATGTCTTTTCATTTTACTTGGAACCATTGCTTCATTAGACAGCATTTGGCCGCAAACAACACATAGTGGAGAAGGAATCTGTGTATCGCCAGTCCAGTAAAATCCAAATTTCAAGTAATCATCACTATACAACTGGTGAACTTTTGGTTTTTTAAATGATGTTGTAGAATTATTCTTGTCACCATTGCCTTTTCTTTTCAAAAACTTGTCCATAATTAAGGGTAAATTGAATCTAAAATTGAAAAAATAAATCTAAAAGAATTTTTATTATATTTAATTTGTTGTTTGTCTTACTAAAACTTTAATTTACAACGCTTAAATATTTAATAAAAATATCTACAAAGAATCTGTAAATGTTCTGAATGAGATATATAGACGATATAAACTGGTGATAAAACAATACCTAAATTTTTAACGATTCCGATTTCTAACCAATATTACTTAAATGTAATTGAGCGGTGTCATCATGATTAAGAAATTGAATGTCTTTATTAAACAAAATGAAATTAAATGGCTTCTAAGTATTATCTCTTCATTGCACACCAGTAATCATTCCGTGGCACACTAATGTGTCATGGCACAGTGGTTGAGAATCACTGCATTAAGGGAAGCTCTCATGACATTACCAAACAAGATCAATCCAAAGAAAGAGAAATGAGAAAAAAAAAGAGTTGATGACAGATGAAATTCATGAGATGATGAAAAAGAGATAGCAAGAAATGCCAAGAAATTATATAGAATATAGAATATTGGACAGAATCAAAAGAAACAAATTCAGGCAGGCTAAAGATTAATGGCATAATGAAATAGAAACTGGCAGGACAGCATAAAGGAATAAAAGAAATAATAGGATAAAAGACATGTTTCTGAAGTGGATGTATAAAATCTAGAAAGGAAACACTCATAATAGAGACAAATTAAAATCAGCACTGATGAAGGACCAAATGGAGACAAAGATTAGAGATCAACAAGATTATGGAATAACTTAAATATACAACAGTGGCATGATAGTGGAAGACATTCGTAGATCCATTTTTATAGCACTGCCTAATAAAAATGAATGTGGGCTCCATTGGAGAATCAGTTTAATGAAGCACATCATCAGGATCATCATCAGGATCATCATCAGGATCCTAGATGAATAAAGTGCATAGTAGAATTAGACTGAAAGTAGAACAAGAAAAATGTGGTTTCATTAAAAAAAAGAGAGAAAAATGTGATCTTTATTTTTGACACTATTGTTCACCCAATACAAGATTCAAGAGCCATTTGTATAGGAGGTTACTGAATGGTGGTTGTTCTATGAACATAAAAATTGCAGATTACATGTAAGATAGATAACAGTTGATCCTAGATGTTAAGATTGTAGCAATCAAGGACACATCTTTTTGTGTGTCTTCCATAAAGCAGCAGCTCTTGATAAAAAGCTGTCTGAATGGAACTTCTGTCTTACCAATGAAATATAGAAAGAATGAGGATAGGTTTGCCTTTGCATACATGGTATGGCAGGTCTTAGTTGTAAAGGTCTGAACTGGTGGAACTGAGGAAGTAGTGATAGGCTTGTGACATTGTATCTATGTAAAAGAGATTGTGGGGTGGAAAATAATTCATTGCCAACAAAGCCATAAGGACACTTTTGAACTATCAACACTGAAAAGAGGCTGATTTCCCAGATATGGCAGCAATACTCCATTTTTTGACTGACCTGACTCTCGTATATATAGAGCTTGGTAGGTGGAGTAGTATAAGGAGCCAACCATTTTTCCAGCATCTGTAATGATGGATTGTATGTATGAGTTTCATTTGAAGTCTGTGGTGAGCTTCAGTCCCAATAATCAGTCAAAGCAAGGAGCCATCTTTGTGTGTGCAAGGTATTGAAAGTTAGAAGCCAATTTTCCCCCATTGGCTCTAGGCTCTGGTCACATAGATAGCAGATGATCAGAATATTATGAGAATGAACAATAAAGCAATACAAATACAGAAGGATGTATATCTATGCTTTTATAATGCTAAAACATTTGATAAGGTACGACACAAAGATCTATTTGAACTGCTAGGAGATTTATTTGGGAAAGATAATCCAGAACTTATATTCGGAGCAAATAACCTGGATAAAAATGAATTGAGCAAGTTCACAAAAATAAAAAGAGACATAAGACAAAGATATGCCTTCTTACCAGATTTAAACCTTAAGAGTAAGGCAATCTTAAGAGAACCAGAAGTAAAACCAGAATTTATTCTTGATGAAAACAACAAAAGATAAGTAGATGCCACAGAAAGAAAACTGCAGAAACTCATAGACAAGGTAATAAAGGACAAAGAAAAGACTAAGAAGACAGAATGTATGATGTCAGCAAGAGGAATAGCCCAAGATGCAAGCTACAAACTGGAAATATAAGAATCAAGTACAGAAATGTAACTATCTGAGAACAGATGTTGGAAATGTGTCACCAATCAGGTGTCTTGTCATCAAAATGCTAAACAAAATATTAAGAAATTAAGTTTTAAGGAAAATAGAAACAAAAAGAATGCTTGTACTCAGAATGTGTTGAAAATTTTGGGACACATAATGAGGCAAGAAGGCTTGAAGA